ATATTATTTTTCACATTTTTCCACTTTCCTTGATTAAATCGTCGTATTTGGCGCCTGGCGAGGGACCCCCCTCCCTTATTTGGACACCCTGCGCCCGGTACCCGCTGGCTTCGCCTGGCAAGGGGACCCCCCCCCCGCTACCACCCGGCTGCTGCTGTTTAATGTTCCAAGGCATTCATACTTTGTCAAACCGGTGCCTTGTCAGTGCTTTGACTGAAGTCATATTATCAGCCGTATTGAAGTGTCAAGATTTCTTAATTATAATAAACTGTTATTTCTACAAGTTTATTTACATTTAAAAAATAACATGTTTGTATTTAGAAATATAAGTACAAAAATTGCACCAGTGGGCCAAAGAGTTGAGATTGTAGAAAATTTGATGCTATGCTTTTAAAAGATATGAACCAGTCACATCACAGTCACATCACAGCATGTTCAAACAGAGTGTTCCCTTTTTACATGTTAAAAGCAGACTCTCAATGACTGACAATGACATTGATGACATTTAGAGTTTGTACAACTCAATTGAAAACAGCTCTTGATTCAGCCGATCTTTTTCTTCATTCCTCGTCAGGCCTGTAATTTAGTTGGACATTCGTTTGAAAATGCGTACATCCATGTCATGAAGGCAGCACATTGACAACCAAAAGTCATCGTAAAATGGAGTCGACTTTGTTAACGGAAGGGCTTCTTGCAGCCAGTCGAATGCCGCATTTAACTCACCCAGTGTCCGACTCAGATCACAACGACATGAGGTGTTGGTTGTCATTTGCGGGGTGAGAGAGAGCATCTCTCTCAACTCGATCATCGGCCACGGCTTTGCAAGTGGGGGCTGTGTCAGTGTGTATGGCCAGTCTTCTTCCAATTTTGTTGCACCTGCGCGCCTCACAGCCATCAGGGCCGTCAGCACAGCATGGCACGTATCCAAACGTTCTGCGTATTTTGGCGAGTCACTGTAGAAGGGTGTAGTGAAATAGATCATGTCCCTGGCGTTTTCCATGGCAACATCCAAGTTGTCATAGTAATCTGTCATGCCATTCTTGAACTCATCCATCAGCGCATTCAGGTCATCGCACGATATGTAGGCAGTGGAAACACTGCAGGATATGTAGGCAGTGGAAACACTGCAGGCACTACTGCAGGCTGCCATTGCCATCATCCGGTTTTCACTCTGAGCCGTGCACACTGTTAATTCAAAGGCTCATGCACCGCAACAGCACTAAGAGTTCAGACACGTGAGAAATATTTCTTCAAAGCAACTTGTCATATAAATAATAGCTATCATTTCAAATCCCAATCTCTCCAGCATGTTCATTTCTCCCCACACTCCACACATCATAGCAGTTTGCACGAATTACTAATTTAACAGGCACCAAGATCTTCAATCTTTAGTGGCCCAAGCCGTCTCAAATAAGATAAGGCTGACTTAGTAGAAACACTAAGCTTTGACATTTTGCGACTCAGCTGGCACACGACTTTCTTCTCACAGGCCTCAACCAAACAAGTGTTTCACCTAATATTTTTTAACTTGAGATGAAATTCTTGAGATGGTTTGAATCTTGAGTGTTTGCCCGCCTGCTCCGTCAAGTCTCTTGCCGTCAGGATGTCATCCACGTTTTGCAGTAGTCTTCCCAGTTTTGGATCCCCCAGCTTCTGGAACAATTCCATAAGCACTTGTCGTCCTAGGCAACACATGGCAACCCACACAACTTCAAACACCATGTATGTGGCAAAGTCTTTGGCAAGTTTTTTGCAAGTTCAACTGCTGAAGTAACTGAGTACTAAGCTTCAAGCGGTCTTGCAATTTCTTCACATCTCTCCAGACTCCCATCTGACGAATGTCTTGGCAAGTTTGTGGTCTTGCTCGGCCCAAGCTGGCGTCCAGCATGTCAACATCATCATCCGTCATGGCAAGCGTTTTGAACTCAAAAACTAAATGAGCTACGGTCAACCATCACATGACTTCAACACATTTTTAGCTTGCCAAATTATGACACAGTCAGTGTCATGGAATCAACATGAATCCACTCAGAAACAACACAAAGTCACTCTTTTAACATTTCGCCCATCATGATAGTTTTCAAAGTTCCCAGGTTTTGTACAGCAAACGTCGTCAGTTGCAGTGTTTGCCCTTCTTGCGAGCGCCCTTATCGAATTTGTCCTTGGTCACTTTGCTTTGCCGCTTGTCCGCCTTGTAGATATTCACAAAAGTAACTGCCCCGCTGCTTGGTGCCCATGGCAGGGGCTCAGGGTACTTCTCAGTGGAGCCAAAGATCCAAGCCCACAGCTTTCCCTTCTCCTTCAAGAACATAGGGCAAGAAGACTCATTGAAACCCACCTTGTCTTCATTGGCAGGGTTGAAGATGAAGTTGCGTCGATCCTCTTCAGAGTTGCTGTTTGGCTGCCATTGGCCATTTGGAGACCGGACCCCCACCGGCACAGTGCCAAGCAGCTCAACCTGCCCCACAAGCAAATTGGCCTTCGTTTGTCCGATTGCGAAGGTGCCTCTCATATGTGTGTTCCAGGACCTCACTTCCCAGCTCTTCCTTTTCGTAGGGTCTTGATGAAAGATCTTATCGATCCATTGTTTCTGTATCATAATCGCCTTCTTTGGCTGGAGTATCATGCAGGTCCTCAGGATTAAGGTGACAATGCAAGAACATGCTCACACATGTTGACAGCAATAATGAACATGATGTGTTTGTTCAACCTGAGTGGGTTCCAAAACTTTTACAAAGCAGCTTCTCCTTGACACGCTGGGCAGCAGCAGGATGCAAGCCCCACAAATACTAAGTCAAGTAAAAAGGATGTTGAAAAATGATGAGTGTCAGTAAAATGTCATTGCAAAAATATTTCCCCCGTTAAAGTGAATCAGCCTCTGAGTCCTTGAGCCTTCAGCCACAGAGGTTCCAAGCAGCTCCATGACAGGACTGTGAAGAAACGAACCAATGCTTTTCTTGTCGGGCTTTGACTGTGAGTGTAGTTGCCATGCCCGGAATGACCTAGCAGTGGTGCGTGGATTGTGCCGGGCATGGCTTTACTTTTCATAATGCATCTGTAGTTTTGAGATGATGTGTTTCAAGTTTTTGCTCATTCCCAAAAACGTTAGCGGCATTTTTCACAGCGCCTGACTGACCTAAGCTACCTTCTTCTTCTTCTTGAATTTGGGAATTCGGGCATATGCAGCCGACGGAAGGCTTCCGGACGGAGTCGGCTCAGCCCAAATATCCAAGGGCAATTCCTGCAAGATGTTAACACTGTACAGGGCTCGGGGCAGGACTCGCTGCAAAATGTTCAGCGACATCCCATCCCCAATTGCCTTCCCCATTTCAGTCACTGAATCATTTGCCTGCAACATGACCTCGACCCAATCCTTGCGCCACCCCTGAAGCCCAGCCATCTCATACAAGCTCATGAAGCGGCCAGACTTCATCAGATAGAAGCCTTGTTGGCCTCCTCGTGCTTTGGTATTGCAGGGACTCTTGCCACATGTCATGTGGAAGAATGCATCGCTGGCCATCGCATCCACGACAACCTCGTCACCTGCATCGTCACTGATGTCGATGCCCTTCTCCTTAAGCAGTTTCTTCCTTGGTAGAGGTCAAAGGAGACAGTCGTAAGCTTGTTGAATGAAAAAATGTTGATCGGATCAAATTATCAGACTAGCATCGCTCGCTTCACATTCTTTACTGCAACCTCACTCAGCTTCGTAGCCTTCTTGGCGCCATGGTCTTTGGCAAGAAATCTCTTCAGTGATGATTGGTAGTTCACTGGGTCCGGAAATTGAAACGGCCGGGCTATACAATTTTTCAAAATTGCCACCAGGTAGACTCGAGGTCGGCTCTGCGGAATTCCATGCTCCTCAGTGTTGAGCAATGAACAGTAGCACTTGTACCCAGCTTTGCCCAGGCACTTTGAGATCCTCTTCAGAATCCATTTGTGCTTGTCCGATATCAGTCCTTTGACATTTTCTAGCACAAAAACAGGCGGCTTCTTTTGCAAGACATACTTCACTGAGTGGAGGAGTACCCACCCCCGGCTGTCAGCCATTCCCCCCCCTGTCCCTGCCGATGAGAATGGGGGGCAGGGGGCTCCAGATACAAATACGTCCAAGTCTGGTGCAGTGTCATTGTCCCGCTCCAGCACATTCTTGTAGACAATATCTGGGGTATCGTTGCCCAGATGTGATGCTATGGCTCTGAGCCACTGAAGCTTGTTCTCATCCATTTCCGCCACAAATTTTGTCTTGACTTGAATGCTGTCATCCAAGATAACCGTCAAACTTACATAGTCAGAGCCCAATCCAGCGCAATCAGAACCAAGGCGGATGCTTCGTCCTGGTTTCCACCTCTTTGGCGGTGCAGAAGCTGCAGCCTCAGCTAAATTTTCTATCTCCTTGAAGAGTTCCTCAGCCAGCTTTTCCTGGTCGACACTGCATTTCACCGGCTTTTTCATCGGTGCTTGCTTGGGTTCTTTCTTCGTCTTTGCAATGCTCTTCTTAACCATCGGCCCTGCCATGTTAGTCTTTGCCACCTGCTTTGCAAGTCCTTTAGGTCGTGCAGGCCCAGCCTTGGATTTGGCTGCAACGCGGCCAACGTCCGCAGTTTCATAGGATAAATCCTCCATTTTGATCTGCAAATAGCTACAGCAAAGCAAAAGAAATTGTGTGCGCTCAACTTCTTTATTTTAACAATATTCCACACACAAATTTTTCAGAATAATGACTTCTCACCGATCCTCCCATTTTGCTATCGCAACGCCGCTTGAGTGGTCCAGTCATCATCGGCCACCAAATATCTCCTGCCAGGCAACAAGTTTCAAGTTGGCAGCAATGACATTACAACGATTTGAGACTTGGAGCAACTTTCAAGCCAGCTCTTGTTTTTAACCTCCCCGCACCCCACGAGGTCTTTGAAAGTCTTTGGGCCACACCAAATGTCAGTCTCTGACAAATTGGATTTAATGGCTCTCAAAGTGAAAACCCATCGCTGTCTCAGAGGTCACTTCTCACGGCTCTCAGAGTCCTCATCGCTGCACAATTCCACCTGCTTAACTTTCTTGACGGTGGGGGTGGCGTTTTCGTCACCCTCCTTCTTAGTCTTCTTCGTCTTAGGCTTTTTGGGCTTGGCTTCATCGATCTTCTCACCATCGCTGCCGTCGTCACCTTCATCAGCTTTGCGCTTCTTCATGGCCTTGTCAGGAACAATTCATAGATTAATAGTTCGAAAGTGATTGAAGTCAAGTGTAAACTTTTCATCAGGATAATTATAGCATTCAACGACAATGCGGTCCTGTCCCAACTTGCCCCATTCTGGGGAATACAGCGGGTTCCCTTCCGTTGACATGGCCGTCTTGATGTAGGAAATGAGCTCCTCCACACAATCAACACCAAAAAACTATTGTTGAATATTTAAACTTGTTTGTTTAATAATACTACGGCTTTCATCATGCCAGCCCAGCATGACCCAGCAGTGGCTGCAGGGTTGCGCCGGGCATGGCCAGAGAATGCCATCAGGTTTAATCGTTTAGTTTGTTGATTATTTTATGCTATCCTGCAACTGAGCCGAGTCTCCTGATTCAAGGCCACTGAATGCCGCTCACTCAAGCATACTCCATAGTAAGCCAACCTCTTCTCAATGGCACTTTTGGCCAACTCTCCCTGCCCCGGCGTCAAGTCTAGGACAGCCGATATGCTCCATGACGACAAAATTGTGTCAAACAAATTCTTGGGCAAAAAGTGGTAGAAGCAAGGCTCCACATCAGTGTCTTTCCGAGCCAATTCCTCCTGCTCCGCCGCCTCCGGTTCCTCGTTGTTGTCATCATCAGGTTCACCACCGCCGGAGGTGCCAAAGATCTTGTTCTTGAAGATTTCCTGAAATAGGTCTCAAATAAAGTATGACATAAAAGTATAAAAGTTTTTTTTAAGTATGACAAATCAAATTTAATCCAAGCCACCTTCTTGTCCTCAACGGTTGTGTGCCAGGTTTGAGCAGAAGATGCCAGCCCAACAAAAGCAAGGACGTTGCCTCTGTTCGACCCAGTGAACTTGTCGTGCTTCCTTTCTGGGACCATCCGGTCCAGACATTCTCGGGTGATAAAAGACAACCTCTGGATTTGGTTCACTGATCCTCTGTTCCGTTTCTTTTTGGACTTGATCGAATCCTGGCTGATCACCACGTTGAGATCAAAAATTTCCAGGTAACCATTCACACCTCGAGTTCCCCGGGTCTTGGCAGATCGGAACGGTGCCAAGCAAAGATCATTGCCTCGCCCACCATCATTGACAATGACAATGTCCCCCTCAATCGGGCAGTCAACCTGTGTGTTGCCCTTCCCGATTGGAGTTGACCCACGTGCCTTCAAGGCATTTCCAATCAAGGTGTGCAGCAGGTTGTCTTCAATGGGTGGTAGTCGGGTTGATGGTCTTTTCAAGCTTTCCCCAATCAGCTGGCTGTCACAATATATAAGCACAGCATTCTTGGCCGGAACTCCCTTAACATTGCTCGGCCCCAAACAGCTTTCCTGGATCATTTTGACAAAGGCTGCATCCGTCTCTGGCTGTGGCATTAGCCCCACATATATGTTGAGAAACTGTGCGGCCGTCGCAGTGAAATGTTCCTCAGACCCCCTTGTGTACTTTGAAGGCTCTGGTTTGATAAGCCCCTTTGCCAGCTTAGTGCTTTCACTCTCCTCCTCAGCCACCGGGGCGTCAACTGCCATGAGAGCCTTTGATTCAGCCAACTCCTGGTCCTTCTGCCTAACACAGTCCGCGAACCTCACCTGAAACGTCTCGATGTCATTGATCTCAAGAGGGTTGGGCTTTGTCACGTTCTTCTTCAAAGCCGTCAGCAATGCGCCACTGAGGCATGTTCCAAACAACAAGTCCTGGAAATGTCAGTTTGTATTTCATTATATTTCAATATTATTTTATGTCGTGGTGAAGTGTTTGATTGCGGTAAGTTCGAAATTGCATGACCAGTTAAAATCAAATAATGGCAGTCCTCCATCAGTCTCAGCACCTTTTGACTGGAAACCATCAATGACGATTGCCATTTGTTCTCCACGGCTCCCTGCATATGTTCAGAGCCTGTCACAGTTGAACGGTACACCTCGTGAGTTTCAAGGTGGGCCTTGATTTGCTGAAGGTTCTCCAAATGAAAGCCCTGCCGTGGGCATTCAATGTTCAGAAAGAAGTCAGCACAGGTCCTCCGGAACTTGATGAACTCAACAGCTGAAGCCGAAGTCGCTGTTCCAGATAGGTAGCTTTTGCCAACCTCATGATTGAACAATTGAAGTTGATAGTTTCATAATTTATATAATTGAATTTACTTGTCAGTGACACGTCACAAAATGGCATAAAATATAATATAACAACTTAGGCTGCCACGGCATCGTTTGTCAACAAGGGTGGGGTTCCACCAGCAGTAAGTGCATCTTCAATCCATGCAATTACCCACTGTCGCTCTTTCAGGTTGCCTGTTTTCTCCACAATGATCCTCAACTTACTCAAGTTGTTCAGGCAGGAGTCCAAACCGAACTTCTTCTCCAGCGAGTCCAATTTGCCATTGATGTAGTCGTTTTTCAGTAGCTTTTCATACACCTTCAGGCAGTCATTGATGAATTGGTCACTGTGCCCCATTTCCGATTTGGTGGACTCCGCCGTTTTCCCCATGCGATCTTTGTAGATAGCCGCAAGTTTCTTTACCGTCAAGGACTCTCCAAGCTCAGCTTCCTTTCTCTCCTTGAATATGGTCAGCTCATGAGCCCACTGTCTTGCTGTTCTCCGGATCGTGTCATGAGTCTGAACAATCCTGCCAGGGAGTCAATATCTAAAGCACTAACAAGTTTTACAAAAAACAAAACAAAACATGCATTTGATAACACCTGTCCGCTGTCGCTGTTCGTAGGCTTCCCAGTAGTGGGCATCATCACCGTCGAGGACAACAAACATGACTGGAGTGCTAAGTAGCACAGCTTTCCATTCCTTGAGGGTTTCATCAGTAGTTTTATCATCCAAAACGAATTCCTCAAGGTAGAAGATGATGCTATGAGTCAACTCCTCCGGGGTCACCTGCTTCCAACTCCCCTTGGACGCGTTGAGGTCCGTGTCAGTGGCTGGAACCCCAACAACCACCATCTCCCGCAAGTGTGCTGCACGACCACCTGAGAACACAGTCCTGGCCCACCTCCTCACTCGTTCTTCATCCATGGGAACACCTGGGCTAGAGCTGGTCACAATGTCCAGCCAGAACATGTTGCAGGCCGCCCTGTAAGCCTTCCCCCCACTCAGTGCCAGCTTGGCCTCGTCATTGTTGAAGACAGCCTGGCACAGCCAAATTGAATTTACCCAAAACAATACAATAAGCAGCAGCAGGCTTTTTAATTATGCAACGACTGCAGAAAATAAAGTTGTCCCACCTGAACACCACTCATCTTCTTGCCTGTGATGTCCAGCGGCGATTCTTCTTCCACTCTTGCAAAGACCTTGTGGTTCTGAATGGTTTGCAAAGCCGCCAGCAAGCGGTCATAGTAATCATGATTCACACTGTCCGTCGGGGGGGGTCGGATGAACACTGGCAGAGATTGGTTTTGCTTTAGCTTTGGCTTTCGACTGGGGAGTTTGAGCCTTCTTAGCTGCAGCATTGTCTGCCTTCATCTTCTTCAGCTCATGAGTCCGTTCAGCAATCAGGTCATTCTTGGCTTTTTCTGCATCTTCCTCAGATATTCCTTCAGCAAGCTTCTGGCTTTTGATTTCATCACCTTCTTGTCTCAGCTGCTTCTCTTCGGTCTTATTCAGCCTCCACTTGCTCGCCATTGCTCCCAATCAATGGCTCCCACAAATCTTATTTGAGCCACTAAACTGACCTGATCAATAAAAGCAACTTGCAACTTATCAATAATTCAACGCACGACAAAAACATACACAGAACATATTTTCAACTGGCTGTCAGTCCTTGTCGACGCTGAACCAGTCCTGAGAGTTTTTTGAAAAAGATTGCTGATGTTTATATGCTCTGGTTGCGCCTAGAAAATGTAAAAAATGTCAAGTGGTGACGAGAGGAGGGGGTCCTCTCGTCACCACTTGACATTGCCGCTGATTCAGCCCGGGCTGGCTTGACGAAAGGTGGTTTTTT